ACCTGCTGGACCCCAGAATGTATTCTTTTAATAATTATTTCATTTATTCATTCATGTCTTTTCATTTGAGCACAGAGACATACACATACATACACAGATAGAGAGAGGGAAAGTGAGAAAGCAAGTCCCCAGGTCCAGGACTTGAACCATGGTCAGCCATGTGGGAGTGTCTAGCACCTTAACCACCATGCCACCTGCTGGTCCCCCAGAATATATTTTTTAAAGTCTCACTGCTTTTACTCAGTATTTACATTTAGTCCTGGGGCCAGCAGGTGGCGTGGTGGCTAAGGCTCTGGATACTCCCACATGGCCAGCAACGGTTTGAGTCCCAGACCTGGGGGCTTGCTTTCTCACTTTCCCTTTCGTTCTTTTTGTGTCTCTCTCTGGTCAAATTAAAATTAATGAATGAATAAATAAGATTAAATAAATATTTCTAAAAATGATTTAGTCCTGTTATTGTACAGAGTTGAAGTTTGTTCATTTTCATTATTACATAGTATTTCATTGTACTTGTCTACCACAGTTTATTTATCAATTCTATTATAGATGGATGCTTGGGTTGTTTCTCATTTGGGGATATTATGGACAACATTAATAGGGCTACTGCTTACATATACTGATACATACATACTAAATGCCCATTTTCTATTGGGCTGTGCACATGGTGTCTGGCAATTAAAAATAAGTTTTTTTTCCCTTGAGGTCACATAGATGTTCTCCTATTTTATCTTGTAATAAAAGATATTTTGTGATTAAAAAATTTCTATCTTAGATTTCTATCAAAAGAACCTATCTTACCTTGTTTTACCTTTCACATTTATTTTTACAGCCCACATGGAATTGATTTTTGTATGTGATATGAGAGATGGTCCAATTTCATTTCTCCTTATAGGTAGCTGAGTATCCCAACAAAATTCATTGAGAAAGCTATTGGATCTTTGGAAAAATCATGACATATTTTTCTATGATTTTCTATGTAAAAATGCATCATGACTTTTCCAATGACCCAATATTTATGTATTGAAAATATCTACCCACTCTGCTTTGCAGTGCCACATTTATCATAAATCAAGAATACATGTCTGGATGTGTTTCTGGGCTTTCTATTCTATTCCACATGTCTGTCTGTCTTTATGCTAGTCGTATACTCTTTTAATCATCACAACTTTATAATAAGTCCTGATGTCTGGCTGAGGCAAGTTGTCTCATGTCATTACTCTTTCAGATATGCCCTGGCTCTTGGCCTTTTTTCTGTCTGTCTTTTTTTTTTTTTAATTTGCCATAGGGTGTGTGCACTTGCCAAAGAGAGAGAAAGAGAGAGAGAGAGAGAGAGAAGGAGGGAGAGTGAGAGGAGAGTGAGAAAGCACCCTTCAAGGCAGATAACCACTCCACAGTCGTTTCTTCTCCATTCTCCTCTTGGGATTTGGTTCATGTGCACACATGTGCCCATTGTGTTTTTCAGGCTGTTGGCTCTGAGATTTGAACTGTGCAGTCAGTCATGTGAGATCCAGATTCTATCATAAAAAGTTTTTTTTTCTTTCTTTTTTTTTTCTTGGAGAGGTTTTTTCTTTTCTTTTTTCTTTTTTTCTATAGGCACGTGCACTCGCCAGAAAGACAGAACAGAAAGACAGAAAACGAGAAATCACCCCCCAGGAGGGATGGCCATGCCGCAATTCCTTCTCCTCCATTTTCCTCTCGGGATCTTGGGCATACATGCACAGGCACCCGGTGTGAGTTTAAGCCACCGGGTCTGGGACTCAGACTGTGGTCTACTACATGGGAGTCCAGCGACATAGCCATTAAGCCAACTGCTGGTCCACATAAAAAGATTTTTTTTAACTTTATTTTTTGGCTGATTTACTAACTAAAATTTATTAATTCTACTAAACAAATTACCTACTTTTTTTAAAAAACAAAAAGTTTTTTTTCTACAGGGCACATGTGTTCACTAGAGAGAGAGAGGATGAGAGAGAGAGTGAGAGGGAACATGAGAAATCACCCCCAGGGGTAATGGCCACATCACAGCCCCTTCTCCTCCAGCCTCCTCCTGGAATTTTGGACACGTATGCATAAACATCCAGCGTGATTTTCAATCCACCAAGTCTGGGAGTTGAACAATGATCAGCCATGTGGGAATCCTGGGCCTTAGCCACCGTGCAACCTGCCAGCCCTGAAATTAGCTACTTTTAATTTATTTTTTATTAATTTTTAAAAAATAATTGCTTTATTTAACTTTATTATTATTGTTATTATTATTTTCCAGTTTCATCAGACATAGAGAGAGGGAAAGTGAGAAAGCAACTCACCAGGTTCAGGACTTGAACCACGATTGACCATGTGGCAGTCCAGTGCCTTTAACCACCATGCCATCTGCTGGCCCCAGAATTAGCTACTTTTTAAATAGAATTATAAAAGTGAAAAAGTACCCCTCCCTCAAAAGTGAATGTATTAAAAGTGTTTTTCCAGGACCAGCAGTTAGCATAATGGCCATGTCACTGGACTCCCATGTAGTCAACCATGGTTTGAGTCCTGGACCCGGTGGCTTAAACTCATGTCAGGCACATGTGCATGTGTGCCCAAGATCCCGAGAGGAGAATGGAGGAGAAGGGATTGTGGTGTGGCCATCCCCCCTGGGGGGTGATTTCTCGCTTTCTGTCTCTCTGTCTCTCTCTCTTTCTGGTGAGCGCATGCACCCTATAGCGAAAACCTCTCAGAAAGAAAGTGCTTTTCCTACTCCAGACCTTTGTTGGCTTGTTGAAAATACCAAGTCTCAGGCCAGCCAGTGGCATCGTTGCTAAGGCGGCTGGATCCGACATGGTAACTGTGTGGTTCAATCCAGGACCCGGTGACCTGAAAAGCACATTGTGCATGTTCATATGGGCCCAAATCCCAAAAGGAGAGCGAAATGGACACGGGATTATGGCATGACCATCTCCCATGGGGAACAATTTCTCACTTTCTCCCCCACTTTCTCTTTCCCCATTGACTGCAAGCACCCTCTGGCAAATTAGGAAAAAAAAATCTCTGCCCCTCCCCTTGACTTACTGGATCTGGAAGTTTAGTTGGTGGAGCTTCACAACGTGAATATTTTTAAGGCATCACAGGTGCTTATGAGGTTTATGTTTTATGACCAATACAGAGGGTTAACCAATGCCAAAAGTAGTAGGATCAAGTAATACAATGATTCTCAACCTTGGCTGCACATTAAAACTACTGAGGGGCTTAAAAAAATTTCTGATGCCTGGCCTATACCCTGGTCCTACTGACGTGAGTGTCTGTCCTGGTCATCTGGAATTTTTAAAGCGTCTCATGTGTTGAGACGAGGAGTGTGGGAAAGGGCAGCAGGGAAGGTTTACCAAGGGGCACAAAGAAATGTTTGAGAGTGATGGGGTATGTTCCCTGTCTTGATGGTTTCATAGGTGTGTGCATATGTCAAAACGTATCAAATTGCGGGGCAAGCAGGTGGTGTGGTAGTTAGAGTGCTGAATTCTCACGTGGCTGACTGCGGTTCAAGTCCTGGACCTGGCGGCTTAAAAATCATACCAGGCAGGTGTGCATGCATGCCCCCAAATCCCAAGAGGATAAGGGATTGTGGCATGGTCATGCCCCCTGATTTCTCATTTCCCCTCTTTATAACTCTCCCCAGCAAGTACATGTACCCCAAGGCAAAAACCTAAAAAACAAAAGGATCTATTATACATTTTGTTCAGTTTATTATATGTCAGTTATGCATCAACAAAGTTGTTTAATGAAAAACTCACTGGCTGATCCCAGTGCACAGAGAATCATTGTTCTAGTAGAAAAGATGTACGACTGGTAAGTGGAAGGTGGATATGCTAATGTATGTCAGCACTTGGCTGTGACAAATGACTTCACACCCCCCCACACACACACACACCTCAGTTTCATTGTAGTTGGTGGGTTCAATTTCTTAAGTACTATTCAGCTCTTGACATTTCCTTTTGCTCAGCCTAGCAATAAGGGCTGGGCTGCTGGTGCACCTCCTGGCCACACGAGGGAGCTGTTCTACTGGCAGCCCCTTCCTCTCAACTGAACCCTCTTGAGAGGTCACAATAGTCTGGTCAGGTGCCTTTCCCTTCTTTCTGGGCTCATCCTCTTGGTGACTGCAGCCCCACTTCTCAGCCATCATCTTCAGTTGCTCCTACCCACTGCTCCTGCTGCAGGTGAGCCTTTCTTTAAGCAAAGTAAATCCATGCACTTCAGGGTACAGATAGCTTTTCAAAAGGAACCCCAGATTGCTTTGAAAAATACCCTGCTCTCACACAGCAATGAAAATAGGTTCTAAGTGAAGTATATGTATGTGTGCATATATAGGCATATATGTGCATACATACCAATATTTACTTATCGATCTATCAGTAAGCACATTAAAAATATTACTGTACTTCCCCTCGGAAAGTTGTGCATTCATATGAAACCGTTACATGTTATTTTGTGGTTGCTTATGTGAACAAAGGAGTCAAGGTTAGCAAACAAACCAAGTTACTGCCTTGGTAATATGATGTCAAGTGCTTAAATGGGTAAATGAGAAAGAAGGAGGGAGGAAGGGAGGAAGGGAGGGGACAGAAAGAGACCGTGTGTATCTGTCTGTCTGTGTTTACATGAACTCAGGTGAACAACTTGGCTAAATATTTTTAGAATGCAATCTACTCAGGTACTCTGGGCATTAATCTCTATTTTTCTTGGATCAGATAGGGAAAAAAAAAAATCTGGATGCTCCAGAAGAGACAAACTAGAACTAATGTTCTAAAATGATCTAACTATGCCCTAAAATGTAATAAACGCCTTCTTGTAAATCAGACTGAAATGAAAAAGCAAATGCTTTTCTGAAGTGCAACAGCAGCACTGTAAAACAACAGCCTTCCCCAAACCTGTAGAATTTTCCAAATACTACTCTAAAATCTTAACCTGGAGTACTTCTGGTCTTTTATTGTTTGTCTTACTGTCATTTTCTTTCATTTTGATTTCCTAAATTTCAGATTATTCTATGAGCCAGTCACAACACCTTGTGGGCACACCTTTTGCTTAAAATGCCTTGAAAGATGCCTAGATCACAACGCCAAGTGTCCACTGTGCAAAGATGGTCTTTCACAGGTAAACCAATGTTTCTTTCCTGGTTGGGTTGGCTTGTTTGGAATTGGACACTAAGACAGCGTTCAGCTGAATTCTAGGCCACTGTGCTGTGCTTGGGCAAACTAGCCCCTCAGATCATCTGCCCGTCTCTCCCTTCTTCACAGACTCCTTTGGGGAAAACAAAGCAACAGCTAGCTTTTTAGAACTGTCAGTATTGAAGTTAATTTGCATTCAAAACAAAAGGATTATTTAGATGATAAAGATGGATCCTGGTTCTAATCCCATCGTGGCACCTGATATACTGTCATCCTTGCTGAGTTGTTTATCTGCTCTGGGCTTGAACTAGATGAGCTTTGATGTCACCTTGTCAATATTTGTTATTTCATGTTTTGAAGCGATCAGCTCCTAGGACCCTGGGAAAACCTCCCAGACCAGCAATGTGGTCCTTGTCCAACCCCTCAGGAGCTGCTATACTTACTAGCAGATACTGGGCTGCTTGAAAAGCTCTGTGGCTTCCAGGTTCTCTAGAATTAATCACACAAACTTCCACCTTTGTTTTTCAAGTGGGCCTGATGGAATTTCCTGTAGCAAAGAAGACCTGGGAGTCTGTCTTGTTTTCTGTCCCTCAGAGACTTCATGTGCCACGTTTTACAGTCAGTGCTAACTCTCCTTGACCCCCTAGACTCCCTAAAGAGAGGCTGGAGATACAAGAGTATCTCTAGGTGGATATAGGTCCAGGGAAGTCGAGCTTTCACAACACCCCAGCATTTAAATTAAGGGAAAGGGGTGAAATAACTATCAAGGATGGCCCTGAGGGTATGTATCGGGACTAAGGGGAGAGTCAGTGTCATCACTTTCCCTAAAGGAGTGGGATTTGCCAGACTGATCACATGGGAGAAGCCCATGGTCCATATACTTAAATAATACATCTGTGTTATGGCAACAGTACAAAATTCAGATAAACAAAAAGAAGAAAAATCTACTTGTATGCTCAGCACCTAGAGAAAAACCCCTATTAACAGTATGTGTTCTCCCAGGGTTTTTGTTTTAGCATTGGCAGAGGGGCCGCTGCCTTCTTGGACTGGCTACCTCTTGAGTCACTACTATCCCCCAGAGATTGGAAAGGGCAGTACAGTTGACTCTCCTGTAAGCCAGGCAATGACAATGGCAGTGGCTGTTATGACATCTTGAAGGCAGATGCTATGGCATTCCGGACATGAGGGCTATAGGTGATATTCTCATTTGTCTTTGTGCATTCACTCAGGTTCAGACTTACACCATATTACAGGGAGATGAACATTCCAGTCGTGTTCACTTCAGAATAGACACAACCCATTCTGGGAAAGGAGCGAAATTGTCTGAAGCCAGCAGTTGTATACTCAGGAGCTCCCCCTGCTGGACCTGTGTGGGTAGTTTTCCATAATGAGTAATTTCTCCAAAGACTACTAAATACCCACCACTTAAAGACCCCTGGTTATCCCTGGGATACCTATGTTTAGGAGGAGAGTAAGAGTAACAGTTGAGGGGGAACA